AGTACAAATTCACAATACACAGATCTTCCTGGTGGCATAGCAGGTCAAAGCACCACGCTATGAAGCTCTCAGAAGCCACTGTAGCTCGAGTTCAATCTCTAGCCAGGGAGCTGACCCACATGGCATGGCAGACCTCTCCTGACCCATCTGCTGCTCCCCTCAGCTGTGTATTTCAATAGATCTGCTTGTTCTGTTCCCCACTCTGTCTCTGGTGAATCCTTTCAACAACTACACCTCTGGCTTGTACCCCAGTTCTGTAAGCATAAATCTTTAAAAAATATTCACAGTACACTTAAGATATGTGCATTTCCTGAAATATATGATTCATCTTAAAAAATAAATCATAACAATTTGACCTTTAATCATCTGCACCCTGAAATGATTCAGGGATTATGTATACTGATAGCCAGTATACACCCAATAGAGTCTTAGTACATCCTAAAACTTTCAGTGACTCCTTCAATAAAGACTTGCAAAAAAGCTTGGAAGGATACTTATATCTTTACAAATGTTCCCTGCAAGGCCTGACTTCTGCTGATTCTCCAAATACCTTGTACACAGGGCATCCTTCATTTCTGTTTTCAGCCATACACCTCCTGGGTCTCAGAGCCTTGGTCCTAGTTGTTCTTTTGACCTGGAATTCCATTTGCTTTCATCATCTACTTAATTTATATAGAACTTTCAAATCTGAAAGGGCAGGGAAACTCCCTGTCCTCCCAGCTTTGGATCAGGACATATTCCTGACCCTTTCATTGCTACTTTATAAAGTTTGTCTGCTTTACTGTTATTACAATCCATAGTTCCACATTCATCAAGCAATTACACAAATGTGTAATTCCTCAGAAGGCTCTTACTATGGGCCAGGACAGGGCTGCCTTGCTCACAATTGCGTGGTTTAGTGCCCAACACATGAAGAGTTAGACAGTCAGGAAACTTGTTAGATAAATAACTTAAAAGGCAAATTAGAGGGCCCTCCTTGGTGGCACAGTGGGTTAAAGCACAGCACTAAGAAGTTAAAGGGGGTGATCCATGTGGCGTGGCAGACCTCTCCTGACCTTCCTGCTGTTCCCCTCAGCAGTGTACTTCATCCACCTGCCTGTTCTGCTCTCCACTCTTGTCTCTGGTGAATCCTCTCACCACCCCTGCACCTCTGGTCTACCCCAGTTCTTATACATACATAAATAAATTTTTTTAAAAAGGCAAATTAGAATAAGATACCACATTTCACAGTCCTTTAAAGCTGAAGACAGTAAGCCTTAAAGGATTGCTAATATGCAGCATTGGGTGAAGCTGTGGAAAAGCCTGCATTTGCACTCCTTGTTGGTGGAAGTATAAATTCATATCCTTGTGGATCACTTTCGCACCTTGGCATTTATTCTATAGGAGCCAGAGTATCCATATACCAATATGCCCTATAGTTGTTTAAAATTTGAAAAACTGGCAACAACTTAAATGTTTTTAAGAGGAGGCTGAAAAAGTAGATACAGCCATGAAATGAATTTCTGTACCATGCACCTTTGAAAATTAATTGTAAAAGTTGAAAGTATAATCTTTCCTTAAAAAAAAAAAATCCTATATGTATAGGCGCAATTTCAAAATGTAGTTTTGGCACAGCAGACCTCTCCTGTCTTGCCCCCTGCTCCCCCTCAGCAGTGTATTTCAGTAGATCTGCCTGTTCTGTTCCCCACTCTGTCTGAGGTGAATCCGCTCACATTCTCCAGCTGCTGGCCTACACACTAGTTCTTCTATACATAAATAAAAATAAATCTTTAAAAATATATACATATATATTTAAAATGTGGGTAAGGAGTGAGCCAAATTGTTCATGGGAATCACCTCTGGAGAGTAGAGCTGGGAGCAGAGATGGCAGGCACTGCCACTTCTATGTTCTAAGTTCCTTAAACAGGCATGTTTATAACAAAAATAGATTTTTTAATGTTTTAAACTCTAGATTCCTTGTAGAACAAGGCTTCGAGAAAGGTTCATGCTCCTTCTGCTAAAAGTAAAGCTACAGTCAGGGAGTGCCTGTACTTAATTAAGGAAAGGGCCTCCAGAGGAGCTGATGTTCACGGATTACACAGGGCTCCGTTGAATCTTCAGGGAGAGGCCTGGGAGGAAGAGTAACCAGCTATGGGTCGCAGGAGTCTTGGGGTGTGCATGCTTTCTGAAGGAATAGGGCCGCAGAAGTTATTCCGCTTTCCCAAGTACACGATCCTTCTCATAGGTGCTAGTTCTGGGGACAAGATTTGACTCGTACCCCTCACTTCTTCAACATAAGCTAAGAACTGAAGTACAGGGGTAAAGGTGTCGAGAACAAGGAGAGAAGGAAACGAGTTTGTCATCCCGGGTTAAGAATCCGACGCACCCGTCGCAGATCCTATTTGGGCCGGAAAACCCGAGCCGACGTGGGCAACGCGGGCTGCCCCATCCGCGCCCAGGACAGGCTGGTCCCGCACTTGATTCCACGCACCCCGCGGCGAGCGACGGGTCGCGCCCGGCCAGAGCCCTCTAAGGCCGCTGAGTCCCGCACCGCCCCGCCGGCGGCGAAGCCTGCAGGGTCGCGCCCCGCGGCGGCAGGGGCCCACCCGCCGCAGCTACTCCCGAAGGTCGGGGCGTTTACCAAGAAAGCCCGGTTCAGCCCCAAGCCTCCCTCTCCGCCAGCTTCTGGGCGTCTGGCGGCGTTTCTTAGTGGGACGATCGCTTCCTCCTCCTTCCACGTTTAGTAACGGAGCCCAGGCCGCCCCGCGGCGGGGCTCACGCCGCTCGCTTCAGTCCTCACTGCGGCAGGTAGTTCGCCTCTTGTTGCGAAGAGGAGACATAGGGCAGAGCGGCGAAGAAGCCGAACAAGGTCACCAGGCTTTACAAGTGTTTCCCCCACCCTCGAAGCTCCCAGGTGTGAATGAGAATGGACCCTAAGTGCTCCTTTCTTTCCCTAGATGGCTGGCGAGGGGAATATAAATGCGGTCTTTGAACACTCGGTGAGGGTCTGGCCCTAGCTTTTCAGTCCCGCTGGCCCGAGGTCACGAGCCTTCCCCCCGGGAAGGGACAGCCCAGGCGGCACAGGGGTGGGGCCCTCGAACACTGAAAGCCGCTTGGGGAGTAAAATTCTCCGAGAGGGCTAAACCGCCACCCGAAAGCTGGGCAGCGTCCGGGGAGCAACACCGCTTCCCGGTCCGCGAGCTGTGCCAGGCTCCCCACGAGTTAGCAGGGTCACACGTCCACTCGGCCCTTGGGGTCAAGTTGACGCCGCCTTCGGGCTCAGCTTAGGAAGTCGAAGCCGAGCTGGGGCCACGACGCCGGGACGCGAGTCCGGTTCTCCGCGCGGCCAGTGTGCGCGCAGGTGGCGGGATGGAGACCCCGGGGCACATTCTGCTCCTCCAACCTGCAAGTAGGAGCAGCTAAGGGCCGGCCGCAGAGAGCGGGCAGCCAGCTCTCTACCCCGGGTCCTTGAGATGAGCGTGCGACCCCCTGGGGACTGTGGGCGCGTCGAACCCCGGCCATTGGCTGCGGTGGGCGGGGAGGAGGCTGGCCGGGGACTCCTCGGGCTGCGGCCCTTCCCCACCTCGCCCTCTCCAAACCCCGCGGCCCCGCCCCTGCCGCCCTCTTAATTAAACCCGTCTCAGCCCTCCGGGTTTGCCCGAAGCCTACCGGTTGGAGCCCACGTCGCCCCGCAGGGTCCTGCAGGGTCCTGGGTCCTGGAGGCTCCTGATCGGCGGCGGCGCGCTGGAAGGTGGGTCCCGGCGGGGTGTCCCCGGGCCGTCGTCTGCCCCGGCGGTTGGGGAGCGCCCGCAGCAGTGGCAGTTGGTTCGGATTGATCATTTTGCCCTTTTGGGGCTTTATTCCTTAAGTGACTCCCAACCCCAAGTTGCAGAGTGCCGGGGTGTGGAAAGGGCAGGAGCAGAGCGTCTTGCGAGCGCGGGGGGATGGCAGATGCCTTCGTAGTGGCTGACCTCTTCTCCTGACCCCTTGTTCTTTAATTTCTGAGTCACGACCCTGCTTAGCTTCCTTATTGGACTCATTGATCGTGCCCTCAAGACCCGCCGGCCCTGAAAAGGCTTCGGTTCTCAGCCCTGGTGAACTTGCGTCCATTAAAGCGCCGTCCTTTGGGGCAAGGGCGACAGCGGCGGGGTGGCGGAGCCAGGGTAAGGATAGCGGGGGCTGCCGAGCCTCCTCTCCCATCTGGTTTGACGCTGGTCCTTGTCGGCTCCAGAGAGGCAACCCCAGGCCCCTAACTCCCAGGTGAGGTGACTGGAATTTCCAGAGGGCACTAGGGGCTGTGGCGGATGCCGCCTGCGCTTAACGTCCGTTCGCCAGCTGCGGTGCTTCAAGGCAGACGAAGGTTGTCTTGGGTCGCAGGACCGCCTGGGTCCGGACCACCTGGGTCGTCGCCGCGTGGCCTCCCATACCTGTTCCGGACTCGGGGACTGTGTCCCCTTTGCAAACACCAGGGTCCCTTCTCTCGCGCTTGGGGCCCGAGGCGTGCCGCCTGCCCTAAAGCGCAGTGCTGCGGGTCTTGAGCTGGCTTTTCGGCCCCAGTCCCGGCAAAGGGAAGACCCAGCAGCAGGGATCCACCCTGTAGGAGTTTTGTTGGACGGAGAAGATGCCGGGAGACAGAACTTGAAATAGATTTTGCAGGAGCTGGGCGTGGGGCTGGATGTAGAATGGGTGTTGTTAACCAGACACCTTGGTCGAGGTGTGTTTAGAGAGGGTAGGCAGAGCCGACCTGCCCGGGAATTTGGAATTGGGCGAGGTTGCAGCAGGTTTTCGTTGGGGGAGGGAGTGTTGTGTTTGTCTTTATGGTTGGCGTTTTGTTTGTGGGCTAGAGTTGGAGGAATCGAATTGTTAAGTTTATCCCATTTCCTTCGGCCTACGGCTGGCTCGAGCGGGGGAAGGTGAGGGGATCATCCAGGCATTGCGAGGGCAGGGGCGGCCGGGCGTGTCTCTCACGCGCTCTCAGTGTCTCTTGCTTGATGCAGATCCGACGCGCTCAGCGGCTCAGGATGGCCCTGCGGCCGCTAGTGGAGAACGGACCCCAAGACAAAGTGCACTACCCGCCGGAGAGGTTTCAAAGCAACCCACATCACTTCGCAGCTTATTACACGCCCTTTACGCCCTACGGCCACTACACGAACGCCCTAATCTCTGCCGAGGAAGATTTCCAACCTTTCCGGCAGCTGGAAGCCGCAGTGTCTGCCTCCCAGTCTATACCCCCTTTCGGCTTCCACACGGCGCCTCCCCTGCCGAGCCCTAGCCAGACCCTCCAGCGGGAGCCGCTCTATGACCTCTCCTGGTACAGTAAGCTGCCAACGTGGTACCCAATTCCTCACTTCCCGAGAGAGGTGTCACACTTACTCAACGGTAGCCACGAGTATCCAGGCACCGGCAATGAAGACTTGGGCAACATTGGTGGCCGCAACGACAGTGGCCAATATTGTGGACCTGAAACTTTGTTTCTGCCGCCCCCTGCCCCTGTGAATGCGTCCCTGTTACCTGAAGGGCTGAAGTTCTCCCAGTTATTTTCTTGCCCCCCCAGTAATCAATCTGAAGCTGCCCCCAAATTTCTGAACCAAGAGGGGAAGCCGTCTCATCGTTACCACTTCACCCAGGAAGACCTGCACTTAGTCTTGTACGGGGTCATTCCCAGCCTGGAGCACTCAGCTCGCCTGCAGCACGCGATTTCCGGGCTCCCTGTTCCTACAGACAGCTCTGGTAAAGGCAGTCTACATACAACATCTAGAAGTTGGGTGAGAGGGAGTAGAGTGGGGAAGGGGCACTTGTAGGTGGAGTTAAGACCAACTAGTCTGGGAGAGTGAGAGTGAATGTACTTCCATTAGAGAAAGGGGCCTGGGGAGGCTTTAATTACTTAACTGCAGACTCCTAAGGTTTGTTTTAGCGGAGGATGTGGAGAGAAATGCTGCCTTGGATGGGTGTGTCAGCTGGTTGCAGATTCTCTCAGGATGTGCATGGATCTGATTCAGTTCATATGTGGAATCTCAGCTCAGTCATTTACCTTCACCTTAGTCAATCATTATTACCTCTGACTAAGTTCTTTAAATTTGCAAAATGGAGTTAATAACATAAACTGGCAAGGGTTGTTCTAAGTCCCAAGTAAAAAAATTGTATATGTAAAAGGAGTAGAAAAAATATAAAATAAATCAAATTTGGGGTAATGATTACCTCTGGGAAAGATGGAAGAAAATGCTTCCTGAAAGCATTTCATCATGGGCCCTCCCTGGTGGCGCAGCAGGTTAAAGCACAGCACTGAGAATCTAAAGCTGCTTCCGCATGAGTTCGATTCCCGTTTGCCCCGTTTGTCACGGAGGTGACCACATGGTGAGGCAGACCTCTCCTGCCCCGCCCGCTGCTCCCCTCAGCAGTGTACTTCATCGATCTGCCTGTTCTGTTCCCCACTCTGTCTCTGGTGAAGCCTCTCACCGCCCCTGAGCCTCTGGCCTGTACCCCAGCTCTGTGTGCACAAATAAATAAATCTTAAAAAAAAAAAAAGGCAAGAAAGCATTTCATCATACTTGTTAACAGCAAATTAACTGTTAGCCCTGTCTTTTCCTAGGGTCTGATTCTCTTCCTCAAACTCTGGATAAAGACTCTGTTCAACTACCAGAAGGTAGGCTGGGCTCCTTGCTTGTAATTCTTTCCTCAAGAATGATTTCAGTTAATCTTCTTACTGGCTTTCTTGCCTTGGGTTTCCCCTAGGTCTCTGCCTCAGGCAGACGAAATTTGGTGCAGTCCCACATTTTGGTGTGTTCTGCAGTAGTCTCATTGCCAAAGGAATCAGGTTTGGGCCCTTTCAGGGTAAAGTGGTCAACGCCAGTGAAGTCAAAACATACGGAGACAATTCTCTGATGTGGGAGGTAAGTGTGTTTCTGCTGGGCTGACTTGAGGGTGGGAAGGGAGGGGGATGGGGGAAATTTTTGCTTCTACCTCCCTGGGAGAGGCCTGACCTGGGTGGGAGAAGAGGATAGTTGGAACAGTAATCTGCTATCTTGTGCTGTTTTGCAATATAAAAGGAAGGAAAGGCAGGTGTTCACGCCATGAAATAGCACCTCTGCAAGAGTTCCAGAGATTTTTGTAGTACCTTAAGTCGTTTTAACCTGAAGATTAGTCATGGCATGTACATTTAAGGAATTAATCCATTGTGTTATATTTATAGACAAAACTAAATATTTTAAATATAATGATGCTGAAAATATGTCCAAGGAAATCAAAACAGATTTTTAAATGTTATCGTTTGCCAATGTAACTAGCTAATGATTTTTAAAAGCTGATAGTCTTACCTATATATATGTAAGGGACATGCTGGGAAGACGGTGTTGACCCTGAATTTCTACCTCTAAGATTAATCATTTAGTAAAGTAACCTAAAATCAGAATGTGGGAGATGTTAATCAAAGGGCTGCTTACAATAACAAAACAGTGAAGACTTTAGAATTGCCAACAGCAGAGAAAGCATTAATAATGGCTCTATTAGTATGCATGATAACCAGGTTGCATCCATGATAAGTGGGTGTCTTAGTGGAATTAATCTCTTTTCTTTTACCTCTGCTTATGAAATTAATGTATACTCACTATAGGAATTTGGAAATTAAAAAAGTTATAAAAGGAAAATATCAAAATACCATCTGATATCTTTAAGCTAATCTATTTAGGTGTGATGTTAATAACTTCAATAGTACATTCCATGGACTCAAATATGAAATTTGGGTCATATATTTTTAATAGTAAATTTATAGAAGAGGCCAAAAAATATACATTCCAAACTTAATATCTTATTTCATTTAGATATTTGAAGATGGCCATCTGAGCCACTTTATAGATGGAAAGGGAAGCTCTGGGAACTGGATGTCCTACGTCAATTGTGCCCGTTTTCCTAAGGAACAGAACCTAGTGGCAGTGCAATGTCAAGGGCAGATATTTTATGAGAGCTGCAAGGAGATCTACCAGCACCAAGAACTCCTTGTGTGGTATGGAGACTGCTATGAAAAGTTTTTGGATATTCCTGTGAGCCTTTACCTCTCAGAGCCGGGGAGACAAATGTCTGGGCTATCTGAAGGTGAGTGCACACCTTTGCCTCACTTGGTGAGAACTTCCTAGCAGAAGGACTGAGATTTTCCCCCAAACCAACACCTCTTACAGATTTTCCTGCAACTTCTCTGATTACTTGAGGGACTTCTTCCCTCCCTCCCCCCGCCCCCCAAAACTAATGCAGGAGACTAAACAAAGGGTGTCTCTATCTAGGGCGCATTACCCAGGGCATTACCCAGCTGTAGGATAACACCCTCATCTAACACTGCGGGAAGCTTCTATTCACAAGGTATTTTACTTCTGTCCTTGTCCCACCAGCCTCTCCCTTCCTGCCATACCGAGAATAAAATAAAAGAGAAATAAATGGGTGCAACTTCTGCTTAGGTGAGCCAATTTCTAACTCATCTGTGCTCAGGCTTATACACTTGATGAAGTCAAAAATTGGAGAGTAATGTTTTCCAAATGATGGTTTGCAGTAAATCGTAATGGGGAGGGAAATCAATACAGTGGTCAAGACCAGCATTAAAAGAAAAAATAGATTCTAAGAATGAAATAGAATAGACAATATTGATATGAATCTCACTTAAGTAAGAGTAAGCATTGTTTGAAATTTTTGTTGCTAATGGAAATGTGTATGCTGGGTCTCAAATGTAAGATATTTTTCTTAGTATAGGTCTCAGTTGTTTTTGAAAAGCATCATGTTACATTCTGGGTCTCAAATTTTAATGTGGTTGTGACTATCTGGGGCTTGGGAAAGGTGCAATTTCTCATTCTGAGACCCACGATTGTGCGTTTCTATCAAGCTTCCAGGGGGTGGTGATGTTCCTGGACTAAAGAACTAACAGACCATCATCCCACTCTCTAAAAGTGAACCTCTGGAATTTGCTTGTTAAAATAAGCTCTCTATGTGGTTTTCATAAACATAGAAGTTTGGGAACTGCTGGAGGGGAAGAGGTCCTAATATGTGAACTCACATAGAAGGATCACCTTATTTTGTTATAAGTGTAATAAATAACAGGTAAAAGAAAATGTGAATGGTATTCTCCACATACAATATTGATTGCCTGCCTGTCTCCATGCTAGAACTGAGGCCCTTTGTTATAGGGCAACCCTGGTATTCAAGTGCAGGAAATAACTCTAAACACCACAATATCCCCTGCTCCTGTATAGTATTGAATGAAGGAGGAAGACATTACCACTGTATTGGGGGGCAAGTTGCTTTTAGGTTAAAATGAAATAAGGGATGTATGAGGCAGGAAGAGGGAAGCTTTGGAAAAGTGAGTCAAAGGCAAGGACTCATTCACCAGGGGTTAGTTCACCAGTAGTGAGTGACAATTCACCAGTGGTGACTAGTCTCTTGAAAGATTCCAAGCAACAACTGATGTCTGAACTCTTTTTGTGGTGAGCTGTTTGCCTTCCACCCTAATATGTGCATGGCATGGAGGTGGGGGTCATGTTGGAGGGTGGAGATGGGGAGATTATCTGTAGTCTGTAAAGCTAACAGCTACCTCAGCACCAAGTCACGTAAGTCTTTTTGGTCACTTTTTAAAAATGTACCAATCATTGTTAAAATAAGAAATGAAAAAGATTCGAGAAAAATGTTTGATAACACAAAATAGAATCAGTTACCCTTTTGAAAAATTATTTAATATTATGTATCAAACTATTGAAATGTTTATGACCTTTGATGCCCCAGTAGGACTCTCCTGGAAAATTATCTTCAGGAAATTGTTTAAGGGGAAAAATTTGTATGTACTACCCATATTTGTGAAAAATCAACCAACCTACTTAATGAAATATCCCAACATACCTAATAAAAACAAGTAAATGATGATGAGTAACATGAAATAATATTCAGACACCAGAGACCACAATTATTAATAAGCAACAAAGATGCACACTTACGAATTTCCTGTGCTCCTACCCTGAACCGAATTACATAAGATGTTCAGGACGCTGTTAAGATGATATAATTTTTTGACTCTATATGGAAAGAAACTTTGAACAACTTATTTTGCTGGACAAAATTGTTTATGAATTTGTTTTCTGTTAATATGAATGTTTTTGGATAAGTTTTAAAAAAGAAAAAAATCAGAATTCCTCTGTTTTCAAAAGAATTGCTTTTTGCAGACTTTTTCCAGGCTTGGTGGGTACTTTGCCTTTTAGGTCTTGAGTGGGAGGGAACAGTCTGGACCCTATGTGGGCGGGTTATTTGAGTATGCAAGCCTGCCGAGTGTGTGTTTTGGGGGTTGTAGGTGTGGAATGTGAATACAACTCGAAATCGTTTGCAAATTCTGTCTGAACTGTTGTGAGGTGGGGTTGAAAGCATCCCTATCAGTATCGGGGAAATCCCTTGGATAAAAAGAGTTTTTGATAAAGATGTGGGGTGGGGGGTGGCACAGGGAGGAAAGAGAGGGACAGGATAAAATAAGTTAAGATAAAATTTCCAAGCACCCATGGGCAGCTGAGTAAGCTGAACCCTAATTAGTAAGGGCGGTGCCACTCCAGTCTAAATGGTTGTTGGGCAAACTACTTAAACTTATTCTGAATTTTGGTATGCTTTAGTGCTTTCATTTGTAAAGATCTTGGACTCTGGCTCTTAGACTCAGTCCCACCCCGGGAAGCAGGAAGGCGAGGTATTTCTGACCAATGGCAAATCTAGCTCTGAGTAAAAACCATCCCAGCTGGAGTATTCTGAGAGTATTAGCACCTCAATGAAAGTGATAGACTTAGCTGGGCAACGGATAAGCCTGGGGTAGGTGGTTACCTTCCCGGTTATTTACTTAATGAATGGTTTATTTCCTTAGTCACCTGTTAAGGTGCCTTGGTCTTAGTTGTTAACTAACAAAATTCCTGATGGTTAGCCTCCCTGCTGTCCTGATGCTGAAAAGATTTCCATCTACAGACTTTCAGATACTCACCTTTCTTCCTCCCTGGGGCAGACAATGATTCTCAATGATGCATTCACAGTGAAAGCCACTTTATCCTCTGGAATCCAGAGTGTCCACAGCAGGGGTGCTTTTGTAGGTGGCCCTTGTCTTCTCCCCTGCCCCCAATACATAGACACCCCTGAAATTGGGACCTTCTTTGCTAGAGTCGGCAGCACCCTCTCTAACCTCAGTTCTCCCCCTCCTTCTTCCATTGATTAAGACCAGGTTTAGCTTTCTCACAAATGTTGTTAGTAAGATTTCCGTAAGTGTTAGACTTAAATTGTCAATGAAAACACCATATTCTATATTAAAAGGCAAAATATTGCCATTCATTTTCTATCCATGACAAGTCTGCCTCTGTATTGTCCCCCAAAAGTTCAGGGATGTGAACTCTAAGCTAAGAGGATGTAACCAGGTCAAACAGAACCACAGTTGTGAAGCCTGAGAAGCAAGTTGTGGGTGTCCCTTCTTCTGGGGGAATTGCTTGAACTTGTAGCTCAGACCAATCCGAAAGGGTCAAGCGATGTTTCTGTATTTTGATCGTATAACAAGTACCAGTCTGGGTGTATTCAAGAATTACAGGATTAACCTTTTTAAAAAAATTATTTTAATTATGCATACAAGAACTGGGGATTAGGGCAGAAGTGTGGCGGTGAAAGGACTCATCAGGGACAGTGGGGAACAGAAATGCACTGCTGAGGGGAGCAGCAGGTGAGATAGAAGAGTACTGTTGTGCCATGTGGGTCAGCTTCCTGGCTGGCTGGGGATCTAACTCATGCCTCCACAGTTGCTAGTGATACATTGATAGTGTTGAGACTTTAACTCTGTGTCACCAGGGTGGCCCAGATTGAACTTTTTATATTGGGCAGGGAGAAGAGTTCCTTCAAAAAATACATTTCAGTAAACAAAGAAAACCTGTACATTAAAATAATGACATGGGCAATATGTAGACTTTGAAGCCTAAGTTGAATAACAAAATGAAGTAATGGTTTAGTTACAAATGGCATGTGGTTTAACTTTTTAAGTCAATATATATTAGCGATTATGGATTGAGGTATTTATAAATCAAACGATAGATTAGTATTGAAATCTATTATAGAGGGAAGTCTACAAGTTCTTCGTCAAAGGTTGGTATTGGACACATGAAGGGTTTTTTTTTGTTTGTTTGTTTTTTCTATTTTGACTTTGATATGTTCAAATTTTCTGTAAGAATTTCTTGTTGGGCGTAAGAATGAGAGAAGTTAGCTGACCAAGCCCCTCATGTTTTTCCTTTATTTGACAGAATCTGCAGAGGGTTACAGATGTGAAAGATGTGGAAAAGTATTTACCTACAAATATTACAGAGATAAGCATCTCAAGTACACCCCCTGTGTGGACATGGGTGATAGGAAATTTCCCTGCTCTCTCTGTAAACGATCCTTTGAGAAGCGTGACCGGCTCAGAATCCATATTCTTCATGTCCATGAGAAGCACAGGCCTCACAAGGTAAGAACCAGGGTAGGAATGACCCCGTCTACCCCACACTCTGCTTTCACACACCTTCCCCAAGCTGCTAAATATAGGTCTGTGATGGCTTTATAGATGCTAAGTGCTGGGATGTAATACCTGGTAAAATCATTTTAGGTTGGTAGTGCTGCTGTAGGACAGGCATGACCCGAATAGCTGAGTGGTAGGTGGCCGTGTAGATAGAGACAAACATGGATAGAGAAAGAGTCCACTTCTCTCTGGACACTCGGGTAATGAAAGGCCTCATTGAAGAGGTGACCTTGAGCCAAATCTAGGAGATTAGTGGGGTGTCTAACTTATTACATCAGCAGGATGGTTGAGGGGTTGGGGAGTGGGTTGAGATATTCCAGGCAAGAAAGAGATTAGTGTGTAGGTTTTTTTTTTTAAAGATTTATTTTTATTTATGCATACAGAACTGAGGTACAGGCCAGAGGTGCAGGGTAGTTAGAGGATTCACCAGAGGCAGAGTGGGGAGCAGAACAGGGATATCAATGAAATACTGCTGAGAGGAGCAGTGGGCGAGTCAGGAGAGGCCATGTGGGTCATTTCCCTGGCTGGGAATGGAACTCACGGTGAAGTGACTGTTTTGAGCTTCATGGTGCTGTACTTTAACCTGTTGTGCCACTAGGGAGGGCCCGGTGTGTAGTTTTAGACAACTGCAACTTGTCTATAACCTGTGCAGGCTTATCTTATCGATTGTTATGACCATGGTCCAAAGAATGGAAGACCTGTATGGTAGACCAAGGATTTGATAAGGGAAAAGACAAAAATGGCATGTAGGGGAGGGATATTTTTCACCATTCTGGATACCTAGTGGCTTTAACAGGCTTTGTGTAAAAAAGTGCAAACTACCATTGGACTTAGGGAAATTGGGTCAGACAGACATGGGTTTCTCTCTGGGCCATGTAGGTCCAACAAATGATGCTACAATTTTGAGCAACTCTAGCTCCAGATTTCCTTGTTTGAAAACTAAGTCATCATCATAGAATTGCTCTTATTGTTTCCCTCCTGGTCACAGCTAAACTTCTAAAAAGGTCACATTTAGTAACTATTATTTACTTCTGTAAATGTTGAGTCTTTTTAAAAACTAGTACATTGTTTTTATAACTCTAAGGATATAATTTATTTCCTAGCCATCAGCCTGACAAAAAGTTAAAAGCTATACTGTCTAGTATTTTCTGATAGTATCATCTTAGAGACTGCAAGTCATATGTCAATTGGTGGTAAGAATTATTCAATCAATTGTATAAATCATGGTGTATTAAACAAAAATAAGGGGTAGAATGTGTATAGCATGATGTCATTAAACTACCTTATTACACTTGCTATGTGGATGAAAAAAAACAGAAAAGAATACATTATATTGCTGATTCGATTTCTGGGAGTGTGTGAATAAAGCCAACAGTGATTTTTACTTGGCAAACTTATTTTTAACTTTAATTTTTTTAATATACAGAAATAATACATACTTGGTAAGTACAATTTGGAGGAAAAAAAAAACAAAACTAAATCTACCTAACATGCTATAACCCAATGTTAAGACATTGGAAGTGAAGTTTTCTTTTTTTTTTTTTTAATGATTTATTTTTATTTGTGCATACAGAACTGGGGCACAGGCCAGAGGCTCAGGGACAGGACAGCAAGAGGCTTCACCAGAGACAGAGTGGGGAACAGAACAGGCAGATCGATGAAGTACACTGCTGAGGGGAGCAGCGGGCGGGTCAGGAGAGGTCTGCCACGCCATGTGGTCACCTCCGGGGCAGGCGGGAATCAAACTCATGCAGAAGTGGCTTTAGCTTCTCATTGCTGTGCTTTGACCCGCTGCGCCACCAGGAAGGGCCGAAATTTTCTTGTATATGTGTGTGTGTTTAATATACTCAGATCATACTGAAATTTAGGAGGCTACTTAACATTACATCAGGAGCTAATTTGAAAACATAAAGTGACTATGTCAGTACATTAGATGATTGTGAAATAATTTATTTAACCAATCCCTTATTTTGTGTATTCCTTCCTACAATATTTCTACAGTGACAAAATGCTTAAAAAAAAAGTTGAGTCAAAGTATGTGTACAATTTTTAAGACTCTCAAATTAAGGTGTCAGATGTCTTCAAAAGAAAGTATCATTCTTTAATCCAACTAACTGGGCTCAAGTGAAATAACTTGCAGCAGATGTCCCATAGTAATCTTTTAGGCTGTCATTTTAACAGATGAGAAATTATATACTCTTTGATTTTGTATTATATTATTGATGAGGTTTAAATTTTAAAATACATTTTATTAATAATAGCCTATTCACCCTGTGGTTTGTCCTTGGAGAATATGTAACTGCTACATGCTTTTGTAATATTTTTGACCAGCTCTGGGATTTGGAGATTTCTTCATACTTTTATTTCGTAACTCGGAGTATTCCACTAGAAATGGCATGTTATAGTTTAAATTGGTAGACTTTTTTTCAGTCAGCACAAAAAGTAATGGAGGATCTTACAGTTGGATGAGATTCAACATTTAGGATTACTTAAACTTTGTGCGAAGAGGTGAAAAGGGTGTTAAAAGCAGATGCTTTGGGATTACTGTTTGCTTTGTATTTGATTAAAGATGAATGTTAGCTCAAGAGGTTTCTACTAGCATGTTGGATGGCTCATGGGCCTGAACACTGAGGTCAATGGGGTCTTGGTTTTGAGGAGAGAAGCTCTGGATTGGCACTGTGGCCTGCAAGGGCAGTAGATGACAAGACCTAAAAGGAGGACCTGAAGCTGGTCATTGTGAAGTGATAACTGGCACCTGTTTCCTGGTAGATTCAGGCATAATCATTTTAAGCTGGCAGTAGAAAAGGATAAGTCCTGTCATAGTCCATAGTCCATAGTCCTCTTCAGTTATCTTATTTGCAAACTCTCCTGAGTGTCTCATCCTTTATTTATCATGACTATAAATACCATTTCACATGTTTACAGTATGTAGCCAAGAATTTTGTGCTGAGCTCCAGAGACGTTGGTGGTTTTTCTCTGAACATGTTCTCAACATGAATTTCCCATGATGCTTTATCTTCATTATGTTAAGGAATAAGATTTTTCTTTCCTTTCCTTGTTTTTATTGCTTAATATTTTTAATTCTCATTTTGTTTCTTTATATCATACACTTTCATTCAAATACTTTTAAGATGATATAGTATTTTAATTACTGTATAAGTCTAAAATTAAACATTTCATTGAACAGGAGAAAAGAAACTCAAGTGTGGGACAGAGGTTGTCTTAGCGCTATCAAGCTATTGGCAGTCACCGTGGCATGAGTTCAATCCCTGGCCAGGAAGCTGACCCACATGGCCTGGCAGACCTCTCCTGTCTCTACTGCTGCTCCCCTCAGCAGTGTTTTTTTAATAAATCCACATGTTCTGCTCTCCACTGTTTCTGGTGAATCCCCTCACTCCCGCACCTCTGGCCTACACCCCAATTCTTGTATGCCTAAATAAATAAAAGACATTTAAAAATTTTGTTTTTAAAACTCAAGGGCCCTCACTGGTGGCACAAGGTGTTAAGATACAGCACTGTGAAGCTGTCCACAGCCGCATCAGCACGAGTTCGATCCCCAGCTATGGAGCTAACCCATGTGTTGCAGAAGACCTCCTGTCTTATCCACTGCTCCCCTCAGCAGTGTATTTCAACAATCTTCCTGTTATGTTCCCAGCTCTGTCTCTGGTGAATCTTCTCACACCCTGTATCTTTGGCCTACACCCCAGCTTTTGTATGCATAAATAAGTAAATCTTTAAAAAAGAAAAAGAAACTTAAATGAAACAAACATGCAGAACTTCTTAAAAATTTTTCTTTTTTTTTTTTAAAAAAGATGTATTTATGCATACAAGAACTGGAGTATAGGTTAGAGGTGTGGGGTTGAGGAATATGGCAGAGGGTGAAAGGATTCACCACAGACAAAGTAGGGAGCAGAAAGCAGAACATGCAGTTGACCAAAATACACTGCTGAGGAGCGCAGCTGTGCCATGTTGGACAACTTCCTGATCAGGCAGTGAGCATCAAACTCGTGTTGTGGACAGTGGCTGTGGACAGCTTCATAATGCTGCAGCTCAACCCCTTGCAACACCAGGGAAGCCCCCAGAAAAATTAAAGATTTAATTTATGTTTACAAGAACTGGGTAACAGGCCAGAGGTACGGGGTGGTGGTGGTGGGAGGATTCACAAGAAACAGTGTGGGGAACAGAACAGATGGACTGAAATACACTGCTGAGGGGAGCAGTGGGCAGGACAGGAGACATCTGCTGTGCCATGTGGGTCACCTCCCTGGTCATTGAACTCATGCTGCAGTGGCTGCAGATAGCTTCATAGTGCTAGGTCTTAACCCCTGTGCCACCAGGGAGACCCCCAGACATATTATTTTTAATAAAAACGATCATCTATTGAAAGAGAAAAATGTTATTGTTTTACAAAAATATCATTAGATGCTGGGTATATAACAAAGCATGGGAACACCCTGTATTACCACCCTCCAAAAAACATTTAAACCCTATATGTCTTTTTAAATTTTGCATAGAAGAACTGGTGATATTGGGGGCTAGACTAGGAGGACTCACCAGAGACAGAGTAGAGAACGAAATAGGCAGATGGACTGAAATACACTGTGAGACAAGAGCTCTGCTGCACCAGATGTGGGTCACTGACCGGGGATAGAACTCACATCTTCAAGGTGATAGCACTAAGACTTAGCCTTCGGTCACTAGGGAGGCCTCCTTTTTATCACAAAATAAAATTGTTAGAGCAAATCCCTGTGACTCATAACCATGAGTAGCAAAAGTACTTCTTAAATGGATTCAGAATGTCAGCTCTCCCCAACACTGAAATATCTGACCAATGGAGAGAGCTGTTTTTCATAAAGAATTGTCTCTTAAGGGCCCTCCCTCCCTGCTGGTCTCCTGGCCCACCCACTGCTCCCCTCACAGTGTACTTCTCTATTCTACCTGTTCTGCTCCCCAATCTATCTGGTGAATCCTCTCACCCTCTGCATCTCTGGCCTGTACCCCAGTTCTATATGAATAAAAAAAAAAAAAAAAGAATTGTCTCTTAAGCTCCATCAACTGCTCAATTCTGTGCCAGATTCACTTTCTTTGTTTCATCTTGGCTTGTAAGTTTTAGTTTTGCTAAGAGTTTTAATTGTAAGATAAATTTCCTTTGTTTCTTCCTTTAAAGATTTATTTATGTATGCAAGAGTTGAGGTGTAGGCCAGGTGTGGGAGGGTGAGAGGATTCGCCAGAGACAGAGTGTTGCGCAAAACAGATGGATCTACTGAAATACACAGCTGAGGAGCACAGTGGGAGAGACAGGTGTGATTTACGATACCATGTAGGTTAGATCCCTGGCTGAGCATTAAATTCATGCTGCAGTGGAGGCTGGTAGCTTGATAGGGCTAAGACTTAACCCCTGTACCACCAAGAAGGCCCTAAATTTCATTTCTTAATTGTACAACTTGTATAATACATTTACATTAAGAACTTCTTTGAGACTATTCTCACTTACATACTTTGATAGTTTGATAGGATATAGGGTTTTAGAAATATTTTTTCCTCAGAAATTTCAAAGTATCTTAAAATTACTCGTGGAAGGAAAGAATTTCTTTGGAGTTCTGATTTTAGCAGAATGTGTTAAAATAAAATGGATGTCTTTTCCTTTTGCACTATAATCAATGTAGTACAAGGCATTCTTTCCCTATGAAGGTAGAGGTCCAGAGCTCAAAGGTATTTTCGTGTTCTTTCTTTGGTTATCTTCTAGATCTGTGCTTTCTCCTGGAACTTTTCAGGCAGAAGTCAGGTATTGTCTTTATCCTCCCATATTTTTACTTCACTATTTTTTTCCCAATAACTTCTCAGATTGTGCCAGCTTTATTCCTCAAGTCAAGTATTTAGTCTTTTAGCAGTTCAGCTATGCATTTCTATTCTGTACATTTTTTTGTCAAGCTTGTTTTTAATTTTCAAAGTCGTAGTCAATCAGTTCTCTGCATTATTAGCTTAAGCATCTGATTCTTTTTGCTTCAGTAGCAATAACACACACTATTTTAAAACTTCAAGTAGTACATTAAATAGACTTTTAAAATCCACCCAGAGTCCACAATCTAAAAATGTACTTCTCTCAGAGCATGTGTGCACACCTGGGTACCAGGCCATGGTAGCACAGCAGTTTCCTTTCCTTTACCTGGTTTAAAGACTCTAGATGATTTGACAAGAATCATTAGAATCAAGAATCCCGAGAGATGACCTGAACAGCAAGTGGCTGTACCGTGTGCTCTCGTGTCATGTCACCTGTACCTCCATTTTGGTCCATATATTCCTTACCACATCCACTCAATTTTTATCTTATCTCTAGCTGTGTTGACTACATAGTAAGTATTCTGGAAATTCCTATGGACGCAATTGTGCAATGTTTGCAGTTTACTCACAACGCTGTAAGGAAAACAGCCTGTATTTTGCTCATGAGAAGAATTTGGAAATAGATTCCAAGTTTAATTGAATAGCTACTTGTTGGTAGATCAGGACTAATTCAGTCCTCTCTTAAACACCATGATCCTGTTTAATTCCCACATTTCACATCAGAAGCAACTTGACAGCTAAAGATGTTAGAAAAATTACCTAACATGACAGCGTTGTACAAGCTCTGCACTAGAAGCCACACTGCTGGGTTCTTTCTTGCGTTTTGTCCAGGATGTCTTTCTACTTTCTCAAATAGACCCTAAGCCTGGGTTTTCCCTAAAAACATACACAGAATAAATACAGTAATTCTCTCATCCCGGGTAAACACAATGGTGAAATAAACTTGTTAAGGGAAGATGTGATTTCAGCCATATTTTTCTTTCTCGACTTAGTGTTCGACATGTGGGAAATGTTTCTCTCAATCTTCCAGTCTAAACAAGCACATGAGAGTCCACTCTGGAGACAGACCCTACCAGTGTGTGTATTGTACAAAGGTAAATGGAGCCTTCTGCTAAAGGATCTGCCTTGATTGAGCCCTGCTTGGGTGTACATAGATAAGAACTTGAAGCATAAAATCTGGTTTATAACAACTTCTTGGTAAATTAATTCAGTCCCCATGTCCATCTTCAAATCTGTTCAAGTTTGTTTAAGATAGAACCTTCTATTGTTAAAATGGTATTTAAGGCATGTGCAATGAAATACATCCTCCATTTATAGGAACCCCATGATTACAGATTTAACTGTGTAGCATTTAACAGCGTGGACTCTTAAATGCTACAGTGTGAGGGGTCCTTACAGTGAAATGTTCTCTATCTTATCTATGTCATACTCTTGGTTGTGATATTGAATTATAGTTTTGTAAGATGTATCCATTGGGGAAAACTGGGTAAAGGGCATACCAGGATCTATTGCTATAACTGCATGTGAATTTACAATTATTTCAAAATTTAAATTAAAAAAAGAAGTCAATAAGGTGGCGATTTAGCTAACTGGCCAATAATAGCTAGTCCTTTTGCACTTTTATCTTAGAGGGTAGCCCTACGTCTACCTACGTCTTGATTAATGCAGGTTGGTGAGTGTCATGTCAAACTTGCTGGGTATGCTCATGGGGACAGGGTTGGTGGTCTGCATCTCTAACTAGACTCGCAGGTAATCTTAGCCCCTGAAGAGCCACTGTTCTAATAACCAGTGTTACTCAAAACTAGCAGAATGACAATCAATCATGTCTCTTTACATTAAATCTACTGCTGTGACCACGAGCTTTCTATCTATAGCTCTTGGTTCATCAATTGGAGAATGGAGAATCAGTGACAATAAAATCAACTCCTTTGTTTAACTGGTTGTCCAGCTAATGGATATTTACTTTTTCTGCTTTCCATTCTCCCGCAGAAGTTTACTGCCTCCAGCATACTCCGCACACATATTAGGCAGCACTCCGGGGAGAAGCCCTTCAAATGCAAGTACTGTGGTAAATCTTTTGCGTCCCACGCTGCCCATGACAGTCATGTCCGACGCTCACACAAGGAGGATGACGGCTGCTCCTGCAGCATCTGTGGAAAAACACTCCCAGATCAAGAAGCGTTCTTCTCCCACATGAAGTTTCATGAAGACTACTAACCCTCAGGAGGGAGTTCAGGGACATTATGAAAACTAAGGACTTTATTTTCTTGGTTATCGGTGTGTTGTATAAACATGATAATTATATTGAGACAAAAAAAAAAAAACCAGAAAAATGGAAATAACCTATTAGCTGAGTTTGCCAGATTTAGTAACTGATCTTAGCAGATTTCACAAATGTTTTTCACAGTTTCCAACAAGAGTGGTACTTTGGTGAATTTACATAGAAACCGTGAAAGCTGGCTATTAGTACTATTAGTACTTAAGCGTCTGTCAACTCAACATGAATCCTAAGAGAGAATGCATTTCACTTCAGGGTCCGGGAGTAGAGTCTCTAATTTTGTGAGGAGAAGGGAGGCCTTTTCTCTATTTTCCTTGGGCCCGCAATTATAATATTATTTTAAAGAACTCATTCAATCCAGAACTTCATTAATATTATACTAAGTATTCAGACATAAATTAATTTGGATTCATTTCTGCCCTTAGTTCCTACCTATCCCCATCACATGCCAGATGTGTGTTTATAATTTGCTGAACACCAAACAGAATTGCTTGGAGGACACAGACACTACTTATACAACCTGCCATCTGTGACCTTTACCAAATGGAGGAGAAAAATTATCAAAGAATGGCTAAATCATTATGATGGGCTAATTATTTAATTATATTGCTCTGCTTTTAAGTCTGATTTCACTTCTGAGGAGCAAAATTTTTTAGGTTTTTCTAATTACCTGCTACATGCCAGTATACAGAGTAAGAAGAAAAATAGGCCATATAAGTTATCAATAGGTTGGTGCAAGCCTGGGGGCATGATTTTATTTAATGTATGGGGAGACAGACAGCAGACTCATCTTTTGTGGATGGCAATAGACAACGTTATGAGACGGTGCCAGTGAGTTCACCACTTTGCAGATGAGGAAATGAAGGCTGAGAAAGGAAGTGATGCAGAAAGCCCAGTCCACTTACTTCAGAGATGAGTCTCATAAGGCTGGGTATGCTCTACTTAGGAATCCTGCCAAGAAAATAGCATTTTGTCTATGAAGTAGCTCATTCTTCCCTATAATAAGACAAGCAACAACATACTTTAAAAGTCTTAAATTTTCTCATGGAAAACATGAGACCAGAATAAGTAACCAAGGCAAATAAGCTATGCCACATCCCTGGGTTTTTCCTTTTTTAGCCATGGCCCACAGCTCTCAAAATCGAACAGTTTCAATATGGAACAGATGCCCCTTCCGGAAGGAGGCTCCCAGCTGAAGCAGAGTCCTTTGAGAGAGATATGTAGTGCAGGTGGAAAAGCAGTGATAGATTTTCCTCCAGGGAATTCTTTGCTGCGTTGACTAGGCCTGAGTAATTTATCCTAATGGGAATGTGCCCTGTTGTTTTAGGCCTGTTTTAGTTCATGTTAATTAAGTCAGAACAATGGTCTTTTGAAAAGATTGGGCCTCATCCTGTAATTAGGCAGCCTTTCTTTGACTGCTAGCTCAAGCTATATTTCTTACTATTTATGGGTTTGAACATTATTTTAAAATTAAACAGTAAAGCAAGACATCAGGAACTGGTGTGGTTAGTTGAGTAATGCAAAGTAACCTTTTTTCCTTAACCAAAATAGTAGCCCAGAAAAAGATAACGTTTTTTCCTTTTGCTTTTTTCTAGTAATCACTCAGATGCATACATTCCAAATAATATTGGGTCATGCATGATCACATTAACTGGAAAATTTGGGGAACTATTTTTTCACTTAATCTGACCTGTTCCCTGTTGATCCGTTTACATATTTTAAGTTTTGTCTGGAAAATAATAGTTCATAACACTTTTTGGAATCAACTTAAACTCTGTTTAGACCAATGTGTATCACATCTATTTATGAAAATAATTTGAACCATAAGGACCATTTTAAAAACAGACTGTCAAACTAGAATTAAAATCACCACTTAGAATGTAGGATGAAATTAAGATTTAGGGCTAGTATAATTTCACTTGCTACACATGGTTAAAATATACACAGAATATAGGTTTTTAGAGATGGATGAACTTGTATTTGTCCACCACTTTCTCATTGCTTAATATTGGGCAAGTCACTTAATTTCTGAGGCTTAATATCTTCAGCTATAACATAATGTGATAGGTAGGGTGTTAAGTAAAATTAAGTGACTTGCATTCTCAATGATACTTTAAAAAATCTTCATCCTTTGTCTTGTCAGTCTAAGCAAATGAAAGACAATTACTCAGATTTCTGTTGCTGATACAAATACTTTTCGTCCATAGATTCTTCAAAGTGTGGCTCCTGGACCAATTACCTAGCTTTACCCTACACCTACTGAATAAAAATTCTGTCATGGGATACAGCAATCAGGATTAAAAGTTTGAAAACCAGTGCTTCATTTTTCAACTGCCCAAAACATAGTAGGTATGGATGAGTAGCTAGGTAATTTGATAAAATCAAAAGCAACAGCTTTAGGAGAAACCATTAATGTGCAAATTGCAGGTAAAATAGTACTCATCCTAAGAATCATGGATATCAATAGAACAGTTTTCTCACTTTACTATTAGGAAATTTTCTATAGCGATGAGCCTGATAGATGAAATTTAAAGACCTCTTGTGGCAGTTTCTCTGATATTGTTTTCGTATCAGTCTATATCTGATGCTAAATATCATCTGTGTACTCATTAGACTAAAGTGTAAAAAGGATATCTGAACTCTGGAAAAATAACTAGGCTTAAAGTGAAGTGGCTTGATGATATTGATGAAGCTCTTAATGAGCCCTTGGGGTGTCCTAGGACTCGGAATTTGGCAGCTTCAGTGAACAAAGTTATTGGTAGACAGATGTTGGGGGCCTCTATAGGAGATGTAGTAGTGTTGTGGTCTTAAAATCAAAGCTCAGTTTGAACCCAGGCAATGCAGAGTAAGTTGGGGCTGCAAGGAAATGCCACTCACAATATGTAGAGATAAAATCACAAATACTGTCCTAAACTATTATTTTGACACCACAGGCTATGAATGTTTTGACTTCTTAAGTTATACTGAGCTTATTTTCTGCACCCTATCCAAAGTTCTGGAGAATGAATTTATATGCTGAAGTCTTTCAGTAGAGATAATTAACTAAGATAACACAGCACTTTTTTTTATTGAATCAGTAAGTCAAATAGAATAACCAAAATTATTTTGAAAAAATGTTAAGGGCATGAGATAGAGATAAATTTCCCCTTCTTTGATAATCTCTTCCTAAAGTATGGAGTCAGAAAATGATAGTTTTCTACATTACTTTAGAAGGGTATGTATATAGCAAATACAAAAAGCATGGTGCTTCCATTGTTGTAAAGACTTCATTGCTTTGCTGGCTTACCTAAAAATAAAAATACAAAATGGAATATATAATTTTGAAGTAAGATAGTTAACCTAATTACAGCTAGGGTTAAGAATGTTTAGGGAGAAAATTATAATTTATTTTGGCATATAATCAGGGTAAAGTCTTTTTAATTCGTTTTCACCTTAAATTATCATAGAATTCTTGTAACTTCATATACTAACCAAGTAGGATAAATTACATGTGTGTTTTAACATTATGTAAATACTGTACAGATTTATGAAATTTATTTTGAATTTATTTCTATCATAGTGTTTCATGTTAAAATAAGTTTGCTGTTAGGAAAATATATCAAAAGAATTGGAATTGTATTCTTGATTTTTACAAACTTAAAAAGTACATATTCTTTTTATGTATGTTCTATTTGGCTTCAGGGATTTTCAAAATGCTATTTAGAATATTAGGTATGATTTTATGGTCAAATTAGGAGATTTCCTCCCCTCCCCCACCTACATCCTGACCCCCCTTTTATTTAGAAGCAGCAGGAGGGGAGGAAATAGTTCACAATTTACAACTCACATTGACATTGTCTTTGACAACTAGGATTTTTCTCTAAAAAAAATTTTTTCTGCCTCTGTTGTAGGATTAGGTGGTCCTGAACCAGGGAAGGTAGGCTAAGTTTTTTAGATGAATTTCCCCTCTCCTGGGTTATCTGATTTAAAGGCACCTGAACCAAATTTTAAAGCATTTTCCACTAAGAATGGGTGGGGTGGCTTCCAAGGTTGTTCCAGTCTCTCCCCCTATCCCTTAATTGGGAAATTGTAAGTACTAAATCCCTGCAGCTACAAGCGACCCTCTGGGCAAGCCCTGGGCAGCTGTCTTCCTAGAACTGTGGGCTTGAGATCTTAAGAGCCAAGGGCTGGGCTGTGAGCTAGTGAGTCTTAGCATACCAGTGTTAAGTACTGGCTAGGAGGGAGGAAATGAAGAACCTGATAAGGCAAAGGCAGATGGCCGAAATACAAAATTCAGTGCTCCTTTGACCTATCTACTGTGCTGGGGGTTCTGACATGTAAAGAGTCAAAAACTTCAGGGGTGTTAGGAGGGAGAAGATCCTTGAGAATAGTCCGCCAGGACTTGGACAATAGTCAGTTTTCAGATTGCCAACTGGCAATCTGGTACCTTAAGTTGCAATTATTTTTCTGAGAGGAAGGGAAGATAAAAATGAAGAAACAAGTGTGTTTAATCTGTATTAATAGATATCAAACTTAAAATGTTGAGACATTTTAAAATTTATGGATCTGTGTATGAGTGATACTAATTACAGAAATACTTGAATGCAGAATGAGAAATTTCTGCTACAGAAACTTAAAACCCACCACCCAATTATCAGCCTTCATTGAGTGTGTCAGTTTGGGCTTAAAAACTGATTTCTGATGTAAAATGAGGAGTGGGATTGCTGTATGGCTCTTCTTGCTCTGAGATGGTACATCGCTTCTAACTTTCTCCTTTTTTCAGTTTTTTCTTATTTCTAACTTTTGTTTGTTAGATGGCCTGTGATTTCAAGACTGACAATCCATATTTGAAAGACACAATCAGCATTCAATTATCGAGTTTATGATGCTTTAACTCCCAAATAGAAGGGGGTGTGGTACTAAAGGGGTCTCTATCAAGCTAACACCTGAGCAACTCAAACTATCTTA